CCAACATATTTGTTGTTTAAGGTTTCAAGTAAATGAGGAAAAAAAGGTGCATGCTTTGACTTTCGTGAAAGGAGTATGAGTTGTTTGATGTACTGTGTGATAGCTTTGCTTTACCTTGTACTTGTTGATACCTTTTATATACTATTACATACTGCTTATGTGTTAAATGTTGGTATGCATGTTCAGTTTGTATAGCTTAATAATGAAGTTGAAATTATGGAAAAAAAAATAATGACGAGAAGAGAAGGTTATATCATGTGTTTGTATGCTTTATTTGACTGCCTTTGTGCTGAGCGTTATGTGAAATGGCATGTTGAAATTCAAGGGCATTTAGAAGCATGTTTAGGTGGCCTAAAATTAAAGAGATAATGAGGCATGTTATTCCTTTGTTTTGGTTATGTTGAGCACGTTAATTATGGAGCTTTGTGGTGTTATCAAGCATGCTGAGTATATGTGTTTTCCAGTATTTTATGCTTAGCTTAAAGGCTAAAATAAATTGTTGCTGATATTGAGAAATAGAAAGAGGATAAGCGAGGCTAGTATGTTGTGTTAGTCGTGTGCTTTATTTGGTTATTGTTGTTCTTGATTATGTGTTATGCTTGTTGTTGCTTATGTGGCCCAATCAACCCAATCAAAACACTTAATAATAATTAAATCCCTAATTCTTAGGTTTGAGGAGTCGATCACTCACCTACGTTCTCCAGCTATTTGTGCACTATCGCCTACTCAATTTCCAGGTGGGTTTTAAAAAATTGGTTATGCTGTAAATGTTAATATTGTTATTATTGTTTTACTTGTAGTATGATCAAAGTATGCATGTGGAACATATAGCCTTCGATGGGAGCTGTAACGGCCGTTGAACGGTTATCCCCGTAATTATAGAACGACCCCAATGGAGTAATCTCCTCTTTATGTCCTTGTGAAGGACACATCGCTTGAGACCAGGTCCGTGCTCGGTCAGCGATAAGTACCCCGATGTAAGTCCGATGGCGAGGTCGGGCCTTCAGGGGAGACTCCTACTGGCTGGACACTCGTTGTAAGACCAGAAGGCCGAGGGCCTTGGCTTTTGATATATAGTCGGCAGTAGTCTATTGATATAGGTGTGCACATGAGAACGAACTTGGGATAGGAGGTTGGGATAACTAATTAGTTACGTATACATGCTGTGACCATACTTGTTTTATTTATGATTATTGTTTACTGCATTTCTGGATTTATGATGATTACCAGATTATTGGTAGGGAGCGTACTCCCTAGTATTAATGCATTTGTGAAAAACCCAGTTTTAAGGAGATTAATGTTATTGTTGAACCCAGTTTCGGTGTTGATTCGATTTATGAACCCGTTTGGAGTTATGTTTATGATGTAACGGAAAATGGTATTTCAATTAGTAGCGCTGCCAAGTATTTTGAAATAAAGTTTGAAAAATTCATTCTGATTTTCGTTAAATAAAAGTGGGGCGTTACAAGAGGCTACCGGAATATGGTAACTACCGGGGATAACACAGCCCAAGCAAGTGAATAAAAATTTCGCAACTTAGTTTAGCCTATTTTTCTAAATCGTAAAGCGGTTAATTGAATTAAATTTAGGAAGCGTTTCCTAGACTGTTCAAGAGGTCAGATTTAATCGTAGAGCGTCTCGCGGTTAGATTAAAAACAAGAAAAAATTCGGGTAACAACCCGTGGCGTTACCTAAGGCTAGTAATTCCATAGATCGCGAGATTTGATACCACTTCGATAAACTATCCTCTTTTGCTGCATTTGATTTTATTTTGTAATTCTTCTTTTCGTAGTTAATTGTCTCACAT